CAGAAAGGCAGATGTGGCAGTGGAAGGTGTCAAAGCAGTTTGGAGAGAAAAACAAAGTAAAGAACAACAAAAAAAAAGATTAATCGATTATTAAATTAGTCATCGATTAATTGTTGCTGCCCTAGCCAGAATCACATTACATTTTTTTTTAAATACTTCAGGTTTAAATGTATAATATGAAAATATTGAAAAAGTTTTAGTGCAGAAATCTTGTTTTCTTTAAAAATGTAACTTTTTGAAGCTTTTTTTGTGTGTGTGGAAACCAGACATTTTATAAGCTGCAGTGAGTCAACCAGAGGCACTCTCCAATAAAGTTTTCATTGATGTAGATTAAAGGTGTTTATATGAATAAAGTTTGAAATGATGAAATGGGTTTGCACCCATCAAACTCCTGGACGACTGATTGTCTCATGGCAGTTTGTCACCAAAGCCCTGATCAAACTACTGACCTCATAAAAATCCGCAGACGTAACTTTTCTTTGTGTTTAACATTATTTATTTCCCCTCCCCTGCAGGGCCCGTTCAGTGAGACTTCTGGATTTTCCTCCCTGAATAAAAAAAAAAACTCAAGTAAGTTTGTGTCTAAAACTGGGACCCAGTTGCAGTGATGATGACACTTAGCTCACTTTGATTTGCTGTGAAACGACACGAACATCTGAGCAACTTTTATTTGCTGTGAACCAGGTGACGTGTCTGCTCACTTATTCAAACTCTGGTTAATTTTAAACGTCCTCTGCTCAGGTGTTCGGCTGCAGACACACGATGGAGCGTTTGAAGGTGAGTTGAGTTTTATTTAAGTGTTCGGTTTCTGAGCTGCTGAAAATGATGAGATATCTGGAATCTCGTTCGTCTGAACTGCTGTTGAGAACTTAAAACTGCTGACATCAGCGGAGTTGATGTTTTTAGTTGTAATGTTCATCAGATCAGTTTTATCTAAACTCTGGTCTCCTTCACAGACTCCTGCCGTCGTCACGTCGCTGCTGTCCATCCAGGTAAGTTTATCAGCAAAGCTCAACTGTCCATGTTTCCTTCATGATGTCATCTGCACGAGTCTTACACCATGTGTCAGTGCCAGAACCTGAAAAGGTGAACCCACTGGTGCTGCCATGGCAGCAAGGGGACGACTGGTTGGGGTTACCAACAGTCTGAAAGGAAACTGACGCACGTCTTCCAGGTGATGGTTTAACATTTGGTTTTTTAAACTTGTCTTTTGTTTATTTTGTAGAAGTTCCTGCTTCCTGTAAAACGAGAGGAAAGGTGTGGCTGTGCAGTTCAGGTGTGTTTTTGTTCTGCAGTTAGTTTGAACTTTAATGAGCAGAAGTGATGACCACCATGATACTGCCCCAGTCTGAGTGCATGTGACTAGGCCTGTCGCGATAGTCAATAAATCAATTAATCGCACGATAACTTTTTTTGAGGTCGGTAAAAAAAAAAAGGGGCCGATAAGTTTCATTTTCCTGCTTGTTTGTTTACTTCGTGTCTCTCCCTCCGCTGCACAGGATGAGCTCCTGCAGCTGACCCCTCCCCTCCTGTTTTCTTAGTGTGGGAGGAGTCAACTCTCGCTTTAGCGTGATAGCTCGTTGCTAAACAAAACGTTTCAAAGCAGAACGCGGCTGCTGAAGTGTCGGGGCATTAAAGCCTGGATTGAGAGAGATCGAGAGAGAGAGATCAAGAGAGAGAGATCGAGAGAGAGAGATCGAGAGAGAGAGATCGAGAGAGAGAGATCGAGAGGGAGAGATCGAGAGGGAGAGATCGAGAGGGAGAGATCGAGAGGGAGAGATCGAGAGGGAGAGATCGAGAGGGAGAGATCGAGAGGGAGAGATCGAGAGGG